ACGCGACGGGGGGAAAGGGACGCGACGAGGGGGAAAGGGCGGGCAGGACGCGACGCTAGGAGTGGCGCTAGGCGCGGCACTACGCGCGGTAACAACGGAACCGGGACGAATGAGAGCTAGGATCAGGCTCGGGAGGCTCGAACGGAGAACGGAGGAACGGGATCCCACAGGATCCTAACCTAACTGATACCATGTCAAAATGAAGAATGGATGGTGCATTGATGTTGGTTGGGGTACATATAGCTAACCCTAAGTTTTGTACCCCCTAAGACAAACCTCACTATAGGCTACAACATTTGACATTCGCTGCCCGTACGTCATTCGCACAGGTGCTAGGACTGGTCAGCCTTGTGGGACGCTTGGTCACACACAGTCCCGCTGCTTCGCCCGTCTGAGCGACGCCTGGCGCACAGTGTTTGGCGACGAGGATTCAGAAGCATCGGGTTGACGAGAATGGTGGGAATTGAAGGAAGCAGCACATGAGATGGTTGGGCGGGTTAGCTGGAGCTGCAAAAGAACCAGGGGCTTCTTCGGATTTGGTTGGCAACAGAAGCACAACCCTGATGACAGCGTAAGCTGCATCTGCATCACGCTCCCAACCAGCAGCAGAACTCCCAGCTGATTTCGACGGGCTATGCAATGCAAGGCATGCTGAAAAGTGCTGACATGCTGACTCCGTGCTGGTGTGCAGCATCTCTTGGTCCATCTGGTAGGGGTTTTTTGTGTGAAGGTTCTTTGAAAAACATCAGCATGGTGTCTTGAGCTTTGAACTTGCTCTGCCTTCTAACATTAGCCATTTGCTTGTTTTGTTTATATGCTGTAGTTTTCTCAATATTGCTTGTTGGCAAGCTAGACTCTTGGCTGGGCCTGGCAACATCTCTGTGCTAGGGGTGTGAAAGATGTGTGACCATCTGGGCATAATGTTGGCAGTCAAAGCTCATGCCATTGAATGAGGCACCAAGCTGCGTGTAAAAACCGGAAAACTAGCATCATAATAATTGGAATGACTGTAACCAATAATATGGAGCAAATGCCCTTAATTCCAAATCATTCAGTTCCCACAACAAAAAAAACATGCTATTTACTTCTCAGCCAAGAACTTCTCCAGCTTCTCAACCTCATCCGGGCTGCCCACAAAAAGCGGCACTCTTTGGTGAACCTGCTCGGGCTCAATGTCCATCACACGGCGGAAACCATCCGAGCCCTTTCCGCCAGCCTGCTCCGCCAGGAAGCTCATGGGCGCGCACTCGTACAGCAGGCGCAGCTTGCCGTTGGCGTTCTTGCTGTCAGGGGGGTAGCCGTAGATGCCTCCGTAGAGCAGCGTGCGGTGGAAGTCACCCACCAGGGAGCCGATGTAGCGCGCCGAGTAGGGCTTTCCAGAGCTGGCGTCCTGATGAGCGAGAATGGGAAAGAGTTGACAGACGATGCATGAGACCGCTGATTTATATCAGATAAATCACCACATTGGATAGTTCAACTGTTGGACTCGTACCAGGGTAGTGTGAGATGAGGCATTGGCCGACGAACGGGGAAAGCTCCAATTGACAGTAAGCAGCGTGATTATGACAGATCCTTATCCCAACCGCAATTCAGACATTGGACAACCACCACTCAAAGAACTCATCCCCTTGAAGACCCAAAATGACTCCAAACAACCCAATCCAAACGCCTCACGCTGAAGACACGGTCAGAGAATCTCACCTTGAGGCTGTCAATGTACTTCTTCAGCTGGGGGCTCCACATGTCGTAGTTGCCCTCGTTGAACGAGTAGATCTTGCCGGACTTGGGGATCTTAATGTCGGCGTGGGTCAGCACGAACTCGCCGTACATGGGGTCCAGGGTGAACCCGAACACGCCGTTGCCGATGGTGAGCACCAGAATGGTGGACGACGAGTACATGCAGTAGCCAGCGGCGAGAAGGTTCTTGCCAGGCTGGCACACATTGGTGACGCATGTGGCTTGAATCTGGTCAAGCTGTTCAACAGGAAAGAAAAGAAAATAAGAAACATTTATGAAGCAGCCATTGAAATGAATATGCAATGCTATGCTTCATGACGATGGAACAGTACCGCGCCCCGCAATGCGAAGCATAAACGGGTGTAAAAGAACGGTGAAAAATACCGCGTAAAGAAGAAACGTTCACGAGGTGACACATACGAAGGCTGAGCACTAACCGTGGCATCCTCCTCGAGGTCGATGAGGCACCCGCCCTCAGGCTCGCGGTAGATGCCGAAGATGGAGCCAGTCGACACAGCAGCGTCGATGTTGGATGAACCATCGAGCGGGTCGAACACGACGATGTAGTTGCCGGAGTAAGACTCCTCGACGGCAATAGGGGTGTCCTCCTCCTCCGAAGCAATGATCCCGGTGCGGCCGCTGGCACGCAGGCAGTGAGCGAAGACCTGCGATGATAGAATCAAGACAGATATAAGGAAGAAATTTAGGAATGCTGTAGAAAAAAAAAAGCCAGGGAAAAAGCACGTCAGGGTGATGGCAGGGAAAAGGCACACTGAATCTTAGCATCTTGCCACCTGAAAGCGAGCAGTTTCTATTATTATTCTGCCTAACTAGCTTTTCACATTGTCTCCCTGCAAGCATACTGGTGCGGATGGGAGGCTCACCTCGTTAGACACGACGTCCAGCTTCTTCTGGTCCTCTCCCTGAACGTTCTGCGCGCCCTGCACGCCAGTGAGGTTGGAGATACCGGCACGCGTGACAAGGCTAGCAATCTGCTTGCAGGCGAGGGAGATGGAAGACAACACAATGGTCATCTCGTTGTCGATCACCCCAGCCTGCTCCTGCAGCAGCAGCCAGTTGGTGAACGCCTGAATGGCATACTGGTTGCTAGTCTTAGGAGCGGCCTTGGCCTCCGCGGACACTGCAGCGGCCGCCTTGGCGTTAGCGGCAGCAATGATTTTGTTGCGGCGCGCCTGCTTGCTCTTGGAGAAAGTGGGAGCGACGACCTTGATGCCAGTCAAGGAGGCGGACGAGGAGAGCGCCTTAGGCTGGCTCGAGCACAGCGAGGAGGTCAGGGCCGCAGGGGCCGCGGCCTGAGCAAGAGCGGTTGCAGCCATGGTGGATAGGCCTGAGAGGGTTATGACTAACTGGCACCTTTTTAGGCCAGTACTCCGCGGTCTATCTGAGCTGTTAGTCGAGAGACTAAAGCTCTCAGGCCGAGGAACGGGAATGCGAGGTGCAGCGAACAAGGAGCAAAACAGATGTTTATCTAAACTGGATAGGGAGAGGGATGCTTTGCGGAGGACACGGGCAAAGCGCATGAGCGATGGGAGGCCGAGAGGCAAGAGGCGGAGTCGCAACAAGGTGACTCCTAGGTGCGCGGGGCGCTAGTTTCCAAGTAATTGCGGGTTGCTCCATAATGGAGGTGCCTACGCCAGCCAGAGAACCCCGCCAGCATCAATGGCTGTGTGAGGCTGGGTGAGGAGGGATAACTGGCTGTGCCACGTGTGAGGTGGTGGTGGACTGGGTTGTCCCGCGACGAGGGGAGAGAAGCGGAGGAAGGTGGGGGGAGAAGTAGCGGGAGCGAGAGCGGAAAGCGGGAGATTTGGAGCGGGCGGAAATGGTGAGGGCCTAGTGTAATGGGGTGTGGGATGGGTCCATGTAGGCAGAGATATTGCCACGTGGCATTTTTTTCAGGCTGATGTGGAAGCCAACATCTCTTCTGCTGTGTCAACACTTGAGGCGGAAAAGTAGCGGGCAGATGGGCAGTGTTCTGTGTGGGAACTTCGCACGAGCACAGCATACCGTTGTTGAGGGATGCCCTTCGTGAGGTCCACGAGGGTCAGACTGATGAACAAAATGGCTTCGGGTGGATTGACCGAACACCCACTGCCCAAGAATTTGAGGCTATCCTTGCCATGTCAGTGCCACCCACAAGCACCAAGGCTTCACCACCCGGCACCAAAATATACCCGCTTATAAACATCCTCGGTTTCCAGAGAAAACAGCCAACAATATTTCTGCACGTAAGGGGATGTCACAACAAATTGGTGACAACAAAGGAACACCAAGGAACTATTTGGACTACTTAAACGAGCCAGTGGAAACTTAAATACCAGAATTCCACAGTTTCATTATCATACGAAAACCAAATGTTTGATTTGTACAACATACTAATGTAATATAATATAATGATGCATATAAAAAATATTGCAGTACTATATTTGGTACAAATAGCAATAATTTTATCATTTCAGTGAAAAAAAACACAAAAAGAATGTGTGGCTAGTAATTCAAGCACGTGCAGATACTGTTTCACGCCCTTGACCTATCTTCACAACATGTGCAAATGCCATACATACGATATTATTTGTTAGTGAACTTTGCATCTTTTAAGTCTCAATTCAAAGGTAGTGCTCGCAGTCGGAACTCTCTCAAAGTGAGGTCTTCCCAGGTTGAGCTCGTTGCCTTCGTGGCGCTTAAAGATAAGTCAGTCCCAAGAAAACAGAAGGAGGGCCACGTGGCTGCACGCTCAAGTGCCGCTTCCAGATTGCTGTGGATGTTCTCCAGCTGGAGAGGCATCCATCCTCCCTCCCAATTCCCCACCACCGCGCGCCAGGTTCAGGATGTGGCCTCCCAACCCCACTGCTCTGTACTGCTCTGCCATCCGAAGGGAGAGGTGAGGTGACAAGCCCTTGGGGAAATCCCTTAGCCCCTCGGAATTTGCGCGAATCGCGTGACTCGGCAATCCCCAGCCAATCCGCACCGTCTGCGGATTCTCCCCCATCATCCAGCCATTCCCCGAGTAGGGGGAAGGGGATTGGGAATAGGGGGGAGCTGAAGCGGGAGAACTTTCCCCCTTCCCCCGCCCCCCTTCACATTCTAAAAAACCTTCGAAGAATTGCCATCCCTCCTAACTTTTGCCAGAAATTTGTGCGTCGCCGAATCTCTTGGATTCACGGCGAGGAGTAGCGGCTTCTACTTGGTTTGAAATTTTGTCTCTGCGCTGCGGATTCACACCCATGGCTGCCGTTAGCTCCACAATGTCACGCATTGCCGTGACGGACGGCCTCGTCCGCACCGCCTCTGTGTCCAGCACCACTCAGGCGAACTCCCTCCGCTCCTTCGTCTGCGCCAAGCCTGCTTCCGGTTCCCGCCGATCACTGGCAATCAGGGCTGCCGCTGAGGTGCAGAGCGCGTCTGCTGATTCCGATAGCATCTCCGCGGAAGTCGCGGCTCTGCCTGAAGCTGGCGACACCGTCGGCGTTCAGCCGAAGAAGAGGGTCTCCCCTCTCGAGAAGGGAGGTACTCTCAGTGGCAAGGATGCTGCAGGCAAGGATCCCAGCCTCGCGACGCTGGGCAAGCTTAACGCGGTTGTGACCGGGGAGAAGTTCTCTGATCCACGGTGGAAGAACGGCACGTGGGACATTTCGCAGTTCACCGTTGACGGCAAGACCGACTGGGACGCCGTCATCGATGCCGGTAAACACATTATCTGAACATCGTGATTGTGTCGTCTCGTGCTGTGTTTTTATCCTGTTTAAGTGAATTTTGATGGTTCCATTGTTTTCTGCCCTTTTCTGAATTCGTCTCGACATCCTCTATCCACACTAAGGGATTAAGCCATCACGGGATCCTTGCGGCGCATGTCATCCATTCGTGCTCCGCTGATTTTTTTTTACTGTAATCATTCCACCCTCGTGTCTGCTCTCGTTCCAGCCAGGGTGTAAAGGTTTATAGTGTCTGATGTGGAAGCCATAACTTGACAATCCTTGTTTTCGGTCAATTCGTGTTGGTTTCAAACTCCTATTCTCGTTTTACCGTCTTGCCTTTTGTAGAGGTCGCGAGGAGGCAGTGGCTCGAGATTAACCCCCAGTCATCGAACAATGACGATCCCGTGGTCTTCGACACCTCGCAAGTCCCCTGGTGGGCGTGGGTCCGTCGCTTCCATCTCCCCGAGGCTGAGAAGCTCAATGGTAAGCAGACCAACACAGCTTTCTTGATGCGTTTTCTAGCATAGCACAAGTCCCATAGCACAGCTTCACCCTAAAATCATACCTGACTAACTCGTGGTCAACGAAACCCAAAAGTTGTTCTCTGCGGCGCACGTTTTTTGCTCAGCATGAATGGTCACGTTGTTCGTTCGTGATTACTGCGTTCGGACATTTTCGTCGTTTTTTTTTTCCACCCATTTTGATCGATGACAGTTCGCGTCCTTTATCACTAGCTTCATTGCTCGTGTACTGTTTTCTTTTTGCTATCGTACGTATATTTCTCTCTCCCTGACAGGCCGTGCTGCCATGGTTGGGTACTTCATGGGTTATCTCGTTGACTCCGCGACTGGTGCTGGCCTGGTGGATCAGACTTCTGGTTTCCTCGGCAAGCTGCTGCTGTTCATCACTGTCGTTGGCGTCCTGTTGATTCGCAAGAACGAGGATGTCCAGGAGATTAAGAATGCTGCAGAGGAGTGGACCTTTTATGACAAGCAATGGCAAGCAGCGTGGAAGGAAGGACCACCTCCTGCGAACAAGGAGACGGAGGAGTAGACTGACCGTCTGCTGCTACGCTCTTCTCCTGGTGCCTGATTCTGCTGAGGAATCAATGCTGTGTCGAAGGACACCAATTTTTGGCGGTGCCATGATTTCTTGCAGTTTCAGGTGATCTATTTTTTATTTCGCATGTTGGATATTGTTAACTAAGAGATTACGTTAGCATCCCACAAGTGAGCAAGCCTATCATTGCTTTGACACTGCTGTATAATCGACTCCTCCATTGGACCATAACAAATCCGATGTTCTTGTGACAATTGTCTACCATTGCCACACAAACTCCTTAGTTCAGGTTCAACCTATGTTATTAAGCTGGAAAGTATGCAAGACGATTCTGGTACAAATGCCCCTTGAACAACCATCCCAGCACTGGTACAATGCTTTTCACTTCTAGTGTTGCAGTGCAGTTAGACACAAGCCTGATAAGGGTCGGAGGAACAGGGCCCCATATGGTAGGTGCTTTGGTAGGACACCTTCTACCATTTAGAGAATCCAATATGGAATGTCCAAGGTAGCTAGCTGACAGAATTACGGCAACTGTAATGTGCCTGTTTTCATTTTACCACTTCACAGGCCGAGGTGGCAAGTGAATAGTCCCATTGTGATCACATGCACAAAGCCATTATCAGGTTAACACAGACATCAAGTACACAAAGCTTGTCTGCTCTTAAAAGTCTTCATCTGTGCTGAACACCCGTTGTGCTGCCCCATTCCCGTTCAAATTCGCCATCACAGAAGCCTTCTGGTACTCCCCCACACGCTTCTCAAAGAAATTCGTTTTACCTCTGCAGAAAAAAAACAAGACAGAGGGGAAGGGAAAAAAAATATGTTAGTTTAATGCTGCAAGGCAGAGACCCACAATGCAAGTTCACTCAAAACTAACACCACACAAGAACTCACTGTAACGAGATGAGCTCCATCCAGTCAAAAGGGTTTTGTACATTGTAGTGTTTCTTGCACCCCAGCGCCACCTGCTCTCTCTCTCTCTCGCGCGCTCACACACTCACACAGACACACACACACACACACACACACACACACACGCACGCACGCACGCACGCACGCACGCACGCACGCACGCACGCACGCACACACACACACACAAGGTACCTCAAATCATTCAAAAGGATCACACTCAAGGGTTGTGAACTGCAAGTACACAAGATCTAGCTGAATGTCAACACAGAACCGAGCTGAAGACTACGTACTGAATCAAAGACCAAGCACGCAAGCAAGCACGCACGCACGCACGCACGCACACCAACAAAGCAAGCACTCATGGTGGACCGGATGACGATTGAATCTTACCAGTAGACGATCAGCAACAAACTCAATGTACTGGCACATGAGCCCTGAGTTCATGCCCACTAGATCCACCGGCAGAGAATCACGAATGAATTCCTCCTCAATCTCCACCGCTTCACAAAGAATCTCCTTTACACGTTCCTCACTTAGCTTGTTATGAAGCAGGCTGAAGGCACCACACAACCAAACAGGGACGGGAAAACAATAATATTGTGAAAAGGAAACACATAACCGTGAAGCAAAAGGGTGTCACTCCTTAATTCTAAAACCCCAGACCCCGTGTACAGGTCAGATGAACTTACGAATACAGCAGGCAGCCGAAATCGGTGTGGAGTCCCTCGTCACGGGAAATAAGCTCGTTGGAAAACGTCAGCCCTGGCATCAGCCCGCGCTTCTTAAGCCAGAAGATAGCACAGAAGCTGAACAAGCAAGGGAAGTAATGGGACAGCAGAGGAAATGAGTAGGTTGAAGGAAGGAAGAACTTATTACCACAGCAAGGAAAGCACTGTTAGAATGTGGGAGAAGAATTCAGAAGGCTTAGGCACGAAAACGAAAGGAAGTTGAAGCATGGGAAGGAAAGGGGGCGGGGAGGAGGATATGGAAGATGCACGAACAAACAATTCAACCGGCACCACGAACCTTCCAGAAAAGAAGATGCCTTCGACACAAGCAAACGCCACCAGACGCTCAGCAAACGTAGTGGAACTGTAAGCGCGCATGGTCCCACGAACATAGACGGAAAGGATGAGTAAGGAATCCCGTTGAAAAACAAAACAAAAAAAGTAATGAGGATGGAGCGGCTGAACATCTGAGAGCAAAATAGCGAGGCCGGTCATAATTACCTCTGGGAGCCTTCAATATACCGCATGGTCCAGTCAGCCTTCTTCTTCACACAAGGAACAGTCTCGACTGCTCTAAAAAGTCGATCTTTTTCCGCGGGGTCCTTGATGTATGTTTCCAACAGTAAGCTATACATTTCTGAGTGAATATTCTCGATGGCTATCTGGAACCCGTAGAACGCCCTTGCCTGAGATCAGCATCGCACCACGCGCAGGAACACACTGAAAAGAAGTCAGTTTAGAAAGGCTAACAACCTACCGTGTGATGGTTCGGCCAAAATTGCTCAAAAGAATTTGCTGAATTTGCTAGGAGGTGAATACTCGAAGTCTTACTTCAGGAATTTGAATCTCTTTCATGAATCGCACGGCGAGATTTTCGAGGACGATGCCATCCGAGGCGGCAAAGAAAGCGAGCACTTGCAGGATGAAAAAACGTTCGTCTTCGCTCAGAGATTCGAAATGCTGCACGTCTTGTGAAAGATCGACTTCCTCCGCTGAAAGGGTACGAACCGACCACAAAAACGAGCAGCAAAAAGGTTGGCATCGATTGGATACGGAAACGAGCGGGCGGGCGTGGGAATTCCAGAAGTCGATGATTGTCTGAGAAAACGCGCATTGAACGATACGCTTGGGAACGTTGAAGTGGAAAACCTACCAGTCCAGAAGCTTGCCTCCGCTTTCTTATAGAACTCCCAGACGTCATTGTACTTGATTGGAAACATGCAAAAGCGTTGGCTGTTCGGCTTCAAGATGGGCTCCTCTATTTGAGATAGATCCGCCATGATAGCGAAGCAGGTGTTTCTGCGTAACGCTGACGCGTGCTCGGTGTGAGGTACCAAAAGAAAGGCCTTGGCTTGCGAGACGCAACGAGCTGGAAGGCCCGGATCTGTGACTAGCGGTTCCTTCGGGCAGAACGCTACCTTCACGCGTTCTAACTCAGAGCGCCTTAGAACGAAGCTGGCGAAGCTAACGAGGCGTCAACAGGATGACGGGAGTCAGGGCTTCCAGACAAAGGCTGTCCGCTGTTTATTAGTACAAGGAAGCAAGAGACACCGAGGAACGCACCCCTCGCCTTGGTATCTCCTCTGCTGCTGACGATCACACGCAACGTGGGACGACCTTACAACCCGATCACTACAAGTCTCAGCTTTCCTCCCCCAGCTCGAAGACTGGTGCATGGGGAGTATCCATGCCTTGAAGTTGGAACATCCGTAAGATTATATCGGGAATATGGGTGAGGTCAGTAGCAAAAATAGCGCGCGAGACACTGTGAATGGTCAAATTCGGGTGCTGCAGTACGTGTTGCTCTGTTTGTGGTGCTCTGCGTGTAGATGTTCAGGACTTCCACGCGTACACGCTGAACACCAAGGCCTGAATGAAGAATTTCCGGCCAATATCATTGATACTCAAAGTATGGCTGAGAAAGTTTGCATCGGTACTCAACCTCGATTTCTCATCGCTGATTGGTTCTCGCTTTTCAATCACACTTTCACGCTAATAACTCATCCGAAATGTGACAGAAACAAAACGCGACTACCTAAGTTAAATATGAACAATTGTGTCGAGGTGCTACCCAATAAATAAAAATAGTATCAAGCGCAAATTGCGTTGGAAAAAAATATTAGGAAAAAGGATACAGACTGGGAATAATTCAACGGAATGGGGTCGACGGCACCGTCAACCTTCCGTCGACCATGGACCTGCTGACATAAAACAGAAGAAAACTAAAACCACATCAAATGGCATGTTATGTAACGTAGGCATCCACCTTGAATGTCATGCGACAAGGTGTTTAAGGTTGATGCTATCCGGACTAGATGCCTTTCCGTATGGAGCTTAGTTTTAATTGCATGTGGGCAGCAATCTCTGCTGGACGGTGTCATTTCTTTGTTGAGATAATCCAATCGGAAGGCATAGTTCTAAACACTTGACGGCTCATTTAAGGCTAATATCCACGCGTTTTAGTAATTTTCCTGTTTTGTAGGGCACGTCAGGTTGAGGTGCTGGTGGCGACTTTGTTTTAGAATTGTTCTTAAAACTAGTTTCACCATGTAAATGTAGTTACTATACCGAGATAATGTTGGTTGATTACGTTCGTGAACCGCGCCTGGCATAATCTGAGTATCAATGCTATTGGCCGAAGAATTTCAAACATTCAAGTGGCGTAACCGCAACGAATGGCATTGCGAGTAGCGGAAATTCGCACAACATGCTTCAAAATGTTACATTCCTTTATATAAGTTCACTCATTATACAGCACAACACAAGTAGATAGATATCCCCCTTCTACACCAACTGTCGGACCGCTTTCAACCATCTCACAGCCATTCGTTTCAAACATCCAGCCGACACGTTTTGTCCTCTTCGTAGGTTTGAAACGACCTCACTGTACGGGACGGAACTGCTTGGTTTCCGCCCACCCTGTCCCTCACAAAGGATGGACGCGGTTCAATCGCAAGCTGGGAAATTTACCCATTTATGGATGAGCTAGTGTGTGTACTAAGTGTTTTTTTTTTTTTTCGGGAATTTAGGTAAACAGCAAAGTTGTTCTTCTTTCGTTCCCTAGCTTCTTCTCCAACACCGGTTTTGAGCCCAGTGACTCTGCGCCCTGTGGGCTTCACCCCCAAGGTACAGCCGCCCTGGGCTACACGAGCGGCTTGTTTCGTGTCGTGGGGAACGTGCAAGGAAGCTTACATCAGGGCTCCGTCGTGCACCAGACGAGCCGAAACGCGTTTGGCTAGTCAAACCGCCTGGTGTGACTAGTCTCGAACCTCACAGGTCGGCTTGACTTTGCCACGAAGTCTATGCCCAAAGCACGAACTAGACGCCGCTGTGTGTCAAACCAGAAACTCAACCTCCGTTTGAACGACCCAAACCAGAATCATGCGGTGGCCCCCTGTTGTTTGGGTCACGCGCTGTTCACGAACCACCGACTACAGCCCATCATCAGCCAGCCTCGGAGGGCGACACGAAGCAGCAGCTCCCGCGACAGCGTGAGTACAGTAGCAGGTGGTGATGTGTACTGTATTCGTTCGTGACTGCGCAGGTTCGGCACGTGGTTGGTTAGGTGTTCGCTTGCTTCCCGTAACGCGACTCGTTTCGCCATCCATTCTCTTGTCTGCTCCCATAGCTGCTCTGCCCCAACTAACATCAAGGGCATCACCAGCACCGACCACAACAAACATTCCCACCCAACAACACCGTTCACACTACCCCCTCATTTGACCCCCAACATCTGTACTCGGTGCAATTCCATGTGCCTGTCTGCCATTTCGTTGTTTTTCTTGCCTGCCAACCGTCAATGTGCCGCTAGCGACATCCAGGTCCCACAACCATCCCAGACAAAGTTCCTGCGCCGCTGCATTGCTGTTTCTTAGCTCAGCATCCACCCACCCTGATATTCGGCGCCGCGGCTCATTAGCTCTGCGCAAAGCTTCCCTTCACCCTCCAGTCCAGCTTACTGCGTTTATAAAGATGATCCCCGCTCGTTGCGGACAAACTTAAAAGCAAACTGCTCACTACTGCAGCTAGGGGGAACTAAGCTAGCGATACTGTCAATATTTTCTTGACATTGCATCAGCCACCAACCGCAGAGGTTCCCAATGACACCATATAAGCCGCCTCCGTTAACCAATCCCCTTTTCAAAATGGCGCCATCACATTCCCACCACAGCGCACGGCTTCTCGCGTCCTTCTCCACCCTCGTCCTCCTCTGCACCCTCCTCGCGCAAATCGCGCTTCCCGTGACTCACGCTCAGCCGTACTCCAACGGTTACGACCAGCGTTCTCCCGGATTTTTCGACGACACGGGTGCTCCCGACCTCAGCCCTAGCGCGACCGCTTTCCTGGCAAACAGCTCATCGGACTCCTCTGTAGTAACCATGGGGCCACCTTCGACGTCCTCCTCGTCTCAGTACCGAGTTGTGGACGGAATCAGATACACGCGCATGGATAAGAGGATTCGTTACCCGACTTGCACCAAGATGAACAATGGTAGGTTTCTGGTCGATGCGTATGGTAGCTCGTGCTGCGTACTGCCCATTAAGATCCTTATGAACTAGTTTTTCCACTTGTATCCAGTAACAGTTGTACAGCTTGTTGGTTCACATGCTCACGTGTTCATTCGTGCTCTGACCCCTTCGTCTTTGTCTTCCCTTGCCCTCTTGCGCCGCGCATCGCTTTCTCAACCCCACCATTCCTCCCATCTTCTCCCCCCCCTCCCTTTCACTCCTCCCCACGCCCTCTCTTGTCCCGCACTTTTCCCGCTCCCCCTTCCTTTCTGATCCCTCTCTCCCCCGTGTCGTCTCTGTGGTGCCCTCTTCTCCTTGTCCCTATTTCTTTCGTGCTTCAGACAGTGTGACACTCGAGATCGGGCTGCAGGCCGTGGGAACCAAGTGGCGCGGTTGGGGAACTTCTCTTGCCTGGTTAGTACGGACAGCTCATTGGTAGGAGGTGGAGGTGGAAAGGGGGCTTTGGAAGGTGAAGGGGGCGTGGGGAGGGATTGACACGGGTACGAGGGGAGAGGAGAGCGGTGATAGAGTCGAGTGGGGATGTAGGAAGGGCGACCACTGGCTATTGCCATTGTCTTTTTCCCGTCAGCAATTTCTTCGTATGCTGGAAAGCTTTGCCGCCTCCAAGTAGCAAGTCGTTTCCCTCACCCTCCCTTCCTCCTCGCCCCTTCCCCAGCCCGCTCCCCTTTTCCCAACTCCCCTCACTTCCCCCTCCCTCCCCCCCCCCCCCCCCCCCCCCCCCCCCCCCCCCCCCCCCGCCTTTTTTCCTCTTCCATGAGCCATTCAAAATTTCACTCTCACTCTACGCGTTCCCTCCTCTTTGCGGAGCCCATTAAAATGAAACCGCTTTTTTCTCTCTCCTTTTCTTTTGCCTCTTTTCTCAGGGCTGGACGTTTCCTCGGCGGTTTGACGCAGCCGTTCCGGCGCAAGGTCATGATGGACCTGATTTTTCACAAGAAGAAGGGCATCGGCTTTAATCTCGTCCGTTACGCCATACCCGGAGGCTACGCACCGCGATTTAGTCCGAAAATCTGGAAGCAAGATAAGTACCGAGGGTACAGCCCGAGAAAGGGGGTTTTCAACTGGGGCGGCGATTGGAAGCAAGTACTGGCGCTTAAGGAGGCCCGGCAGCGCGGCAATATCGAGGTCGACGCAATCTGCTACTCCCCTCCCTGGTGGATGACGCTGAGTAAAGACGCGTCTGGAAACGTGAAGAGCAAGCCGAATCTTATGGCGCGTCATTACCCGACTTACGCGGACTACCTCGCGACTGTTATCGCGCACTTTCAGAATCAGTGGGGCATTCAGTTCGCGGGAATTTCGCCGTTTAACGAGGCTTTGGAAGCATGGTGGCACAAGGGAGGGTACCACGAAGGCTGCACGTTCGATGCCCCCGGAATGCACAAACTGAATTTTATGCTTCGCCAAGGGTTGCAGAGTAAGAAGGTTACGAAGACGCGCATCGTGGGAGTGGACAGTTGGCCTGGGTACACTGTGAACGCGCTTCGCAAGTCGCTCTGGCCGCTGGGGCAGGCTCCGGATGTCATCTCTGTGCACGGATACAGATCGCTCCGTATCATGTCGATATCAGGGGACGAGAGCGAGTACAAGGCGATTCGGGACGAGGCGCGCAAGCACAACAATACCAAGATATGGCAAACGGAGTGGGGACCGTTGCACATCGCTGGAACTCCGTTGGAGATTGCTGTATACATGGCGCGTTCGATTGCACAGCATATCAACATCATGGGTGTAGAGGCGTGGTACCACTGGCTGCCTGTACAGAGTTTTAATAGAGCGAATTGGGGTCCCATTCAGGCGAAGTGGAAGTCGTTCGGACCAATCCGGCCGAAGCTGACGAAGCAGTTTTTCGGCATGCTGCACTTCACGCGATGGATTCACAGAGGAAGTTACCCGCTTTTTATTCGCAACGAGTGCAAGCACTCGATAGTGGCAGCGTATTCTCCCAAGGCTCGCCGGCTGTCGGTTACCATCGCGAACCAGCAATCTAAGGAATTCCGCGTGAATCTCAAGATCAGCGGGTTTGATCGCTGGAACCGTAAGAAGTCGACCCTTCGGCAAGTCAGGCGCACGTCCCTGAAGGAGAACTACAAGCGGATCTATAAGGAGTACAGCTGGGACGCCATTACATCAAGCCATGTGACCATCCAGGGCAACTCCATCACCACCGTTGGCTGGACGAATGTCGCTATGCTTGGAGACCCTCAATTCGTGTCATATTAGCAGCCGCCCAGACATAGGTCGTCTGGAGAGTGGTAGGGCAATCAGCTGAATGCATTTATCGGCTGAGAAGTCACGGGTGGTGCTTGGGCAGGAAATAGGAGAATGGTTCCGTAGGGCTTCTTTGGGATGGGAAAACAATGGAGACAACAAGGGGAAGTGGGGGGGGGAGGAAGTGACTGGAGAAGTGGGGTTTGGTCTGGTGACGTTGGAGTGAGGGCTGAGGGGAGCAAAAAGGGGTGTGTGGATTGGGGGTTGGATTCTTTTGGTGTGGGTGCAATGCATATGCTTACAGTCCACAGCTAGTGGATCTGGAGCTCATTTAGAGTTACCACATAATAGATGTGAAGGGCTGTGGGTCATCCTAGTGCTCTCTGTTGTGTAATAATATGCTAACGTAATGATGTGGTTTTTGTTCTATAAAACAACCAATCCGACCCTAAGAATTGACAAATGGCATGGATGGAGCCCTTCTCTCAACCAAAGCTCTCTAGAAAGCGGATGGCAGATTGCACCAGCATCTGAACTCTCCCCTCTCCTCCCATCACCAACCGTGGCTATCTGTCGGTTTCCTTCCTTCCCAAGCATCTCTGCTGGTCCTACTTGGGCGCCCACGTCAACGCCCCCTTCACGAAGAGCACACAGCAGTTTCACACACGGCTGCCCGTTTCAACATGGTGTGATTCTGACCGTCGATTCCGTCGTGCGACGGGGTCTTCACAGTTCATAAGCACATCCCGTTGACCGCCCGTTCCTCCTCACCCTCACTCCGTACTGTACATATTTCACGAGGTGCTGCCGCCGACTGCTGCACAGTTGTGTACACCAGTTTCCCGCTATTTGTACTCCTAATGTTGTAACCTTGTAAGGGTAATGTGACATTGACGGTTGTTTGGGATGAACATTGATTTGACCTCTTTGATATCGACTGCAACATGTACGCACGAGAAGCAAGCAGTCGTCACATTTTTAGCAGTTCCTGACTTTTTTGTTCCACAAGAGCCAAATAAGGCAAGGGAACATGTAAAGTTGCCTTGAACAAAACTGAAAAACATGCACTCCATTTGTTTTTCGTTGCGAATGGATGACACGGGTGTGGGTTGGCTCAGGATTACTGTACTGCGCAGTTGGTATGCACAGTTAGCATGCAGCTTGGATGCAGAACACCGCTCATGCCATGCTTTCCCAATGGGGAATCGCCCCATCCCATCCCATCCACTCCTCCGTAACACCCAATGGCATGGGAAACCTGTCCGCAGTGTATGGAATTCAACTGCACAACCATTCGCTCACAGGCCAGAGTCATGACATGGCAGGCAGAGACACACACACACACACACAACTCATGCCCTCCTACAATGCAACCATTTCCAGCGTTTCCAGTCCCACCTGCCTTACATACTAGTTCTATACCAGTCCAGGTAAATTAGCGGTGTTGGCTCGACCTGTCATTTTGACGGATATTTGCTCAGGCTACGACCCGGCATTCTCCTAATGTGGATAGAATTGCGACTGCAATACTTATAATTAGGATTCAAGAGCTTCAGACTCCCGCTCATTGATTTTGGCATTTTGTCGTTAGGGCTGATAGGATCCGTTGTTATTTCCATCCAACAGAAGCACATTGCCGCTTCCGCTGCTTGTAGTCACTCCGACGCAATCAGAACTTTATGGATTAGTCTAGACCTCGAAGACGGTACCAACGCCTCGGGCGATGCGTAGTATGGTTGATTGTCAGCGACGCCATTTTAGTTGTTCGTGTCGCATTGTAACCACATTGCGTGCACAGAAGGCACCGATATCTCGCCATTCTTTCATGGAGACCACTCAATGTCTCCATTTTCGCGTAATTTATTAGGCGTAAAGAAGCCCCTACTCAAGTCCAACTCAAGTCCGTCGATCTCCAGCCACGAAGAGACCACAATGTCTTCTCTTAGGTACAACCTGTTGTCCCGTCGTTCACGCTGATTTCTAAATTGATCCTTCACGCTCGCAATTCAGCTACGAGAGCAGCGTCAGGGACTGCGGGAACGGAATCAGGTGACGGATTTCGTTTGTTTTTCTTTGTTTAGACGTTCCAAAAGTCGTCAGGGACTGCGGGAACGGAGTTAGAGGGCAGGAAAATCAGCAGATCTTCACCCGCATCATCATTAGCAGCTGTGGGAACTGCGAATTCAGCAAACACCACCAGCAGTAGCAGCAGTAGCAGCCGCAACCGCATAGGAACAGGGTTACAACAAGGAAGGAACAGTGGCATCAGAAATAGCAGCAGCAGGAGCAGCAGGGGGACCCTCAGAGATTGTCTAGTCACCATGGTTCCATCTCCAGGCCAGCTGGACGACGGCGTGGCATCCATGCTCGTTAATATCACGGACATGCACGATTTCAAGCACGAGGTGACTGTAGAGGAAGCGCTAACTCTGAACCAGGTGGAGAAGCGCGCGAGGGAGCAGGGTCGCGTATGGTGGAGCTATGAGGCTAACAAAGGCCCGTTCTGGTTCCTGGAAGAAGCACCAGCGAGCATCACGGGCGTGCATATACGAGCGAATCTCCAGGCGACGCTGCAGCAGGCGACGAATAACCTAACCTTGCATCTGCACCACCACCACCATTCCCTCTCCTCTTCCTCCTCCTCCACCTCCTCCTCCTCCTCGTCGCTACCCGCGTCCTCGTCTTGTCCCGCGACCTGCGCGGCCGGGGCGTTGCCGGGTCCGGGGTTGTTCGGAAGCATGTCTACTCCCGCGGTGCTGAAGCGGCTTGTGCGGAAGGGGATTCCGCCGCACCTGCGCCCGCGCGTGTGGAAGGCGGTGTCGGGCGCGGCTAAGAAGGAGGCGGTTGCGCCGGACGATTACTATTCGTCGCTCGTGGAGGAGACCACGTGGCGCACGACGGACCACACGTTACAGATCGATCACGTGAGCAGTTTTGTATTGTGCCTCATTCACCCCCTATGTCTCCCCAGTCTCCCCCCCTCCCCTCCCCAACCCCCCTCCACACCCTTCGATCCTTTCCCCAACCCCGCCGTCTTCCCTAATCTCCCCTTTTTTTCTCCCATTCCACCCCGTCTCCCTTATTTCCCCTCAAACTCTTCCCCATTCGTCCCTCCATCTCCCGCATCTCCTCCCACCTCCCCCCAACTCCCTCTCATCTCTCCCCATCTCTCCCATCTCTCCTCATCTCTCCCCATTTCTCCCCATTTCTCTCCATCGCTCTCCATATCTCCCTTAACGTCCCTCCATTTCCCTTCCCGCGCGTCCCTCTGCCCACCACCCCCCACCTTTCCCCTCATCTCCGCCCATCTTACGGACGCCCTTATCGCCGCCATCCCCTCAAAACCAGGACCTGCACCGCACGTTCCCCAAGCACCCTCGCATGGACACACCAGAGAGCCTGGCAGCTCTCAGGCGCATGCTCGTGGCCTACTCCTTCCGGGACTCGCACGTGGGGTACTGCCAGGTGAGAGGGTCTGAGTGCAATCACGTAAGGTATTGCCAAGTGCTACTTGTGAGGCCCCTCCAGAGCCTGGCAGCTCTCAGGCGCATGCTCGTGGCCTACTCCTTCCGGGACTCGCACGTGGGGCACTGTAAGGTGAGGGAATAAAAGAGTCTGAGAGTCTTCTGAAAAGGACTGCTGATTTCAGAGTCTATTGCCTGCTTGCCTCGTATCTGCCTGCCTTCCCACCCGCCTGCCTGCCTCCCCTGCCCGTCTGCCTGCCTGCCAGCCAGGTCAGGGTCTGTCTGAGCCAGCTCTGGGTCATTTCACACATGGGAGGGATGTCATACTACGAGCATCCCTGGCCTTGTATCCCCGCCTTGCCCTTTCCAACGTCTCACTTCCTCTTCCTTCCTTCAAATCCCCTACCCCCACACCCTTCTCGTCCCACTCCCACCTTCCAACCCCCTCGCCCCACCACCCACCAGGGCATGAACTACGTGGCAGCGTATCTGCTGCTGGTGATACGCCTCCTTCCCCCACGCCCCCTGCCACCCTCCCCTGCTCCTCCCACTCCCCCTCTCCCCGTACCCACCAGGGCATGAACTACGTGGCAGCGTACCTGCCTGCTTCTGGTGATGCGCAGCGAGGAGGACGCGTTTCATGTACTGGCAGCGCCTTCACACTGTTCCCTTCAACCGACCCCCCTTCCGTCCCCTTGTCCACCATACTCCCACCACCCCCCAGGGCATGAACTACGTGGCGGCGTACCTGCTGCTGGTGATGCGCAGCGAGGAGGACGCCTTCTGGATGCTGGCGACGCTGGTGGAGAACGTGCTGTACGACGACTGCTTCGCCGAGGACCTCTTTGGCGTGCACGTCGAGCAGCGCGTGCTCAAGGACCTTCTCAAGAAGAAACAGCCCAAGTGAGAGGGAGAGCGCGTGTGGGTGGGGGATGGTGGGGAAGGGGTGGGTTAAGTAGGGATTCTGATGTGTGTTTTGCGAAGGCTCTTTGGCTTGCACGTGGAGCAGCGCGTGCTCAAGGACCTTCTCAAGAAGAAGCAGCCCAAGTGAGAGGGAGAAGGGGAGGGGGGAAGGGTGAGCGGGAATGGGTGGAGGGAGAAGTTGGGCTTTTGATGCGTGTGTCTCGGAAGGCTCTTTGGCGTGCACGCCGAGCAGCGCGTGCTCAAAGGCTTGCTGAAAAAGAAGCAGCCCAAGTGAGTGTTGTGGGAGGGGAGGGGATGGGGTTGAGGAAGAGGAGGGGGAGAAGAGGGGGGGGGGGGTTCAGTGGTCTCTTTGGCGTGCACATGGAGTGGAGCAGCGCGTGCTCAAGGACCTGCTCAAGACTAAACAGTCCAAGTGAGCGAGAGTGGGTAGGAGGGGAAGGGAGTGGGTGGGGGGGAAGGGGCGGAGGGGAAGTAGGCTTCTCTGGTGTGTGCTTTTCTTGGGTCACTTTGGCGTGCACATCGAGCAGCGCGTGCTCAAGGACCTGCTCAAGAAGAAGCAGCCCAAGTGAGAGGGCGCGAGGAGAGGGGGGAGGGAGCACAAGGAGGCTCTTAGAAGGGAGGAGAGATAATTATGTGTGAGGAGAATGAGAGGGCGGGAGGGAGGAAGGGATGGAGGGAGGGAGAAAGGAATAGAGGGGGAGGGAGGAGAGGTAGGGAGGTTTGTAATAATGGATGGGGTATGGGAAAGAAAGGAGGGTGAGGAGGGGGGGAGGCAAGGGAGGGAGAGGTAACGGGCGATTCGCTGTCTGTAGACCCACCTTTTTTGTGTGACTTTTGAGAATTCTCAGAAGTCACACAAATATGGCAGACCCACCTTTTTTTTTGTTTTTCACTGCTTGCAACCTCCACGTATCCGTACTTTCCAGTCAACCCGAGGACTGAATCTCGTTTGTTTCATTTCATCCTTTTGCCTCTTCTCCGTACCTTTACCTTATGCAAAGAACGCATGCCTCCTGTCCATCACTCCGTCTTACCTGTCCCCTATCCCGTCTTCCCCTTCCCCGCACTCTGCTCATGCCTCCAACTCCCCCCCCCCCCTCTCATATACCAGGCTAGCTAGTCACTTGGACAAGGCTGGCTTTGAGCTTTCCCTTGTCACCACTGAGTGGTTCTTGAGTCGACTCAAACGTCCCCTTCCCCCCACTCCTCGCATCCCCCCTTCCCCCCCTTTCCCCCCTTCCCCGCTCCTCAACCAGGCTAGCTAGTCACTTGGACAAGGTTGGCTTTGAGCTTTCCCTTGTCACCACTGAGTGGTTCTTGAGTCGACTCAAACGTCCCTTTCCCCCCACTCCTCGCACCCCCCCTTCCCCCCCCTTTCCCCCCTTCCCCGCTCCTCAACCAGGCTAGCTAGTCACTTGGACAAGGTTGGCTTTGAGCTTTCCCTTGTCACCACTGAGTGGTTCTTGAGTCGACTCAAACGTCCCCTTCCCCCCACTCCTCGCACCCCCCCTTCCCCCCCTTTCTCCCCTTCCCCGCTCCTCAACCAGGCTAGCTAGTCACTTGGACAAGGTTGGCTTTGAGCTTTCCCTTGTCACCACTGAGTGGTTCTTGAGTCGACTCAAACGTCCCTTTCCCCCCACTCCTCGCACCCCCCCTTCCCCCCCCTTTCCCCCCTTCCCCGCTCCTCAACCAGGCTAGCTAGTCACTTGGACAAGGTTGGCTTTGAGCTTTCCCTTGTCACCACTGAGTGGTTCTTGAGTCGACTCAAACGTCCCCTTCCCCTCACTCCTCGCACCCCCCCTTCCCCCCCTTTCCCCCCTTCCCCGCTCCTCAACCAGGCTAGCTAGTCACTTGGACAAGGTTGGCTTTGAGCTTTCCCTTGTCACAACTGAGTGGTTCCTCTGTGTCTTCGCCAAGACCTTCCCCTCTGAGGTGCGTATGCCTGCATGCACCCTCCTCTTCCAACCCTTGCGTCCCCTCTCACCTCCCTGCCTGGGCTCGTGAACCCTCTTTTCCTCAGTCTCTCTCCCTCTCAAGCGGTCCGTGTATTAGATCCGAGCAAGTACAGACATGCACCAAGGATATAGGGTCTAGAAGCAACAAGGGGCCTTTAACACTCCTATATCCTACTCACACCCTTGCCCCCTCTAAGGGAGCTCCAGAACCGGCTCCAGGATGGCCAGGCAGTCCCCAAGGGACATGCCATCGCCCGGCAACTCCACAGGTGGGTTCTCCACCTGAGCTGCGAAGTTACACTTCGTCATGAAGGCCACGGACTGAGCCCGCTGCAACGCCACGGACCACCGCTGGCGGAACTGGTGTAGCAGCTTCGTTGCCTGGTAAGATGATGGGGCCGCATTGAAGTGCCTGCGGGCGGCAGTGTCGGCTAGCAGTTTGAGAAATTGGGGGACTTCCGCACAAGGGCAGCCGTAAGTGTCGACGGCCAGTGGGAAGAACCCGACCCACGAGGCCGTTGAGCCCTCGTAATCGGAGATCTTCTTCTCTGCCGCCTCACGGGCTGCCCACCCCCTGCCCTTGACCGCGTTGGGGTCACGTGTGCTAATGGGGTCCGTGATGGTAACGTCCCCAATCCACACGGCCCCTGAGGTCTTGTCTCTGATTGCTATGTCGGCCTTCTTTCTCGTGACGGGACAGAACGCCGTGTGAGTCATGAAATCCGCGTCGCTGGCCATCCGTAAGCATTCGTTGTGCAGCTCGTTGTGAGTGTTTGTCCTCCCCTTCCCCGTGTCACAGCGCAGGAGATGGTTGGGCAGCCGCCTATCTGGGATTAACGTTTCGTTGCGGCAGTCACAGGCACCTAGGGCCGAAGAGGGAAGCCCCATCCGAAACTCCAGCGCGTGAGCAAAATGGGCCGGGGCAAGGCGCAGCGAACTGTTGAAGGGTACCGCGTTGAGCCAGTCTCCCGCCCCGTACCCCGAGAGCGAGAGCATGCGCTGCGTGTGCCCGCTAAGTGGGTTCAGCGGCATGATGCGTGTGGCCTGCACCTGCTCGGCGTAGCGCTGGCCATGCACCGCGATAGCCAGCCCCTGCTGCAACTTGACACCCTTGGGATCCGCCTGGTCGCTCTGCAGCAGCTCCTTTCCCTCGTCCGGCAGCGACTCCTCGCACCGCTCCAGCCAATCAAATAGGGGGGTCGTGTTGATAAAGGGCCCCTTCATCCGCATCCGTACTTCCGCCAGCGCGCCTATTGCTGCCTCGTCAATAGAGGTGAGTAGGTGCTGGGCTTGGGTGTAGCTTGCAAGGAAACCCACGCGTCCTTCCACCGAGGGGTCCGTTATCCCCAAGCCTCCAAGCGAGATCGGGAGCGAGGCTTGCGCCCAGGTACGTGAAATCTCATCCTCCCCCCGGGGGTGGCGGATGCCACAAGCCGTCAGCAACGTCTCGAAGAGGCGCTTGCCCCAGTCGGACCATTCCTCAACAGGTAAGGCAGAGAGGGGTGTGGTGCGGGCAACATAAGAGACCCGTCGTGAGATGCACCGCGTGAGCAGAAGTGAAGCCAACTGTGGCTCCATCCGCTCGATTAAGGGGAGGGGCCCGCCCATGTTGTCAAGGCTATCGCGCAGGAATGCCGCCGTTGCTTCGGTACCACCAATGAAACTACCGAGCACCTTCACTCCATCATCCACGAAAGGTACGCCCTCTGGAAGCACCGCTCCTCGCCGACCTGTCTGTGACCACGCCGCGCATTTGTCTGGATTGTGGCGCAGCCCAATCTCCCCAAGGTTCCCCGTGAAATCGTCAAACGCCGCTGCACACGAGGCTGGCTCTCCAAGAAAGGTGACGTCGTCCGCGTAGGCAAGGCACACCACGGACGGGAAGGTAAGAGCCGTCTTCGCCAGAGCAGGGTGAATGGCAGCAGCAAAAAGCAGTGGACCGAGGGGGTCTCCCTGCCGCACTCCGGTCTCGCTCAGAAGGGGTGGGTGTGAGAAGCCGGCGTCTAGGCAGAGGGCCGAGGGAAGGCCGTACAACAGTTTTACCAGCGGCAAAAGGGAAGCGAGAGGGGATCCGCGGAGCGACGTGACGATGGCTGCCCTATTCACGCTGTTGAACGCGTTCGCCAGATCCGCTTGGAGGACCAAGGCCCCCGTGTGCATTGTAAGATAGGTGCGTGTGATGTGGATAATTGCTTCTGCCCCCCTAGGAACCGCCACGCCAAACTGGTGCGGAAGGAAGAATTCTCTAGCGGCTCCTGCGGTCAAGGTAAGCGCTGTTTTTGCAGCTAGGCGTGTGATGCTTTCGCCAATAGCAATTGGCCGCGTTCCTCCATCGGGCTTGGTGAGGGCAATCAGCCGCGAGCCAGTGAGAAGCTCGGCTACTGCTGGTGGTAGCTTTCCTGTGAGTATCGTGTTGACGAGTGCGTGCAGGTGTTTCCCGACGGAGTGGTTGATCAGCGCCGCATCACGTAAGTGTTCGAATGTTGTTCCAGAGGGGCCCGCTCCCACTCCCATCTCACAGCTTCCCAGCACCTTGGAAAACACTGCGAAGGGTGCAGATAGGTCTGGGTCAGGTGCAGGGAAGGTCCAGTCCGGTACGGAGGTAGGTGCCGGTGGATGCTTGGCGCGCAAGGCCTCCAGCACACTTGGGGAAGGAGTGCTGACTGGCGTGGCTTCTAGCGCCAGCACGGCACGCCGTAAGCTGCCACGTCGCGCGAGACCTTCCGCCCTTGCGATGACGCCAATGTCATCGGGCTGGTGTCTGGGTGGCTGGGGCCACGAAAGGGATGCGACTGTTTCAGTGTACAGTTTGTCCCATTCTCCAGACAGAAACTGGCGAAGGCGGGTCTCAACAGCCTTCCAGTCTGGCCGACGTGGTGACATCTGGCGGAGAGTCAAACGTGCGACGAACAGCAACAACGTCCAAGCAGAATCCGAATCTGGGTTTTCAGCCAATCGCAGGAGAGGTACAAGCAGTGCTGTGGCGAAGAGTTTGCGTGGGTCTGATGGGAGGTGGCGGGAGAGAGGGGCGTGGCGAGAGTCGCGCAATTTCGCTAAATCCCAAGTGGTCACGCTGGCGAAAAGGGCGTCATCCTTGGCAAGAGATTCTGAGGATCTTTCCTCAGGGGGTTGGGGTTGAGTGTGGTTTCCACCAGTGGCATAGTGTGGGGCGGTTTGTGATGGGGTTGGAAAGTTGGAAATTGAGGTTGGTGGTGGTGGTGTAGCAATAATGCACGTCGCGGCGTGGGTTGGTGTTGGAGGCCCCCTCCGCCCTATGGACCGCGGAGCCGTGCCACCTCCCCCAGTATGGGATGGTGTGGCTCTTCCTGCTCTAACTGGAGTCTGGTGGTGTGTCTCATCCACGGACTCAGAACTCGAAGTTGAATCCGTCGAATCAGCAGGTACAAAGCTGCTGTCCGAAGTACTGCTTTCAGTATCCCCATTCATTAAAGCCCGCCTTCCCGCCTGCTGGTAGGCGTTCTCTGGCCCGCCTCCGCGCGCTCGCCCTCCGCTGCCCGCTGTTCTTCCCCCGCGTCCAGCAGGAATCGCCCCTGTTCGCTCCCCGTCCGCGTTTGGCGCGGATTCCTCCCCTCGCCTTGATGGAGACGACTGCTGCCCCCGGCCGCGACTGTACCGCGGAGAGCGAGCCTGCTCCCCGCCCGCATCCTCCTGCGCGACCTGCCGCGAGCGTCCCTGTCGCTCCGATGGGGGTGGATGAACAGATCCGCCGCCGATTCGAGGAGCAGCGGCGCGATCTGCAGCGGACCCAGTCGCGCAAAGATCAGGCGCCCGCGGAACCCGTCGTACGCTCCGGCGCGGAGGCAGTGGCGCACCGGGGGCGGTCGCCTCGGCGCCGCTCGTCGGTGACGCGCGAGGAGGGGCGGGCGAACCGCCGCGGTGATCGCCGCGAGAGATCTCCGTCGCCCGTTCCGTCGCGTTCGCCTCGTTCCCCCCGTTCGCCTCGGCCCGCGGTATCGCGGAGCCGGTCCCGAGATCGTTGGACGCGCCGCCACCAGTCCCCTGCTCGCCGTTCGACGCGGCAGCGATCACCTCATCGTCCCGCCTCTCGTCACCGATCCCCCGCTGCGCATTCGTCGCGGCCGTCAAAACGCCAGCGGCTTCACTCTCCTCGTCGCAGGGGCCGATCCCCTGGGCGACAGCGCCACCGCGTGCAATCTCGCCCGCAATGTCCCACGCGGTCGAATGTGAGTGGGCGCCATGGGCGCTGTGGAGGCTATGGCCGTGGCGGGGCGGCGCCGCGGGCGCCGTCCGCGATGGAGCGCGTGCTCCAGAGGCTGGACGGCATGGAAGAAGCCATTCATCGTACGAGGGCGGAATCGTCGTCTCGTCCCGCGCGTCCACCTGCTCCCGTTGTTCCACTCGCTGCCCTCCTGCCGCATGATCCCGAGGGCTCCCTCGTGCGTCCTGGTCGACCGTTGCCTGCTGGGGCCGGCTTCGTGGGTGCGGGGGGTGGTGATCCGTGGGCCCCGTTTGTTCCGCCGCGCCCTGCTCCACCTCCACGCGATTATGCAGTGTCGTCTCGTCAAGCTCAAGCTTCTGCGGGGCTGCCGGCGATGAAGGAAGTGCCCACGGCGACCCTGGCGCACTTATGGTCGCTTGCGGAGTGCCTGCAGGGTCTTGAGGTGGTCCTAGTGGAGTCCCATGGCTCCATGTCGGTGACCCCACTGAGCATGTTCTCTCAGATGCCGCGAGCAAGGTGTCACGCGGCGGCGTCAGCAATATTCTCGTATGTATCGCCACTGCAGGCTGCGCCCTTGCCGGGAGTAGTCTTGGCCACCCAGCTGGCTGAGAAGGCCCTGGATCTGAAGACGCTTGTAGGAGATCGTGGAACTCCTGTTGACGTTGTCGGCGCCACCGCGTCAGTGGTCCGCTTGATGTGGCTGACCACGCGCGAAATGCTAGGTGAGCTTGAGGCGGACCGCATGTAGGCGCAGCCCTCGTGCGCGTGTAGACCCGCTCCATGTGATTGTGCCTAGATGTACTTGCTCGCCATTGTTGTTGTCAATGTCTTGCTAGTTGGCCTCGGTTGTGGTGTTCTTGTCACCGGAAAAATTGCTTTGAAGAACCAAGCGAATAATGAGTTAGATCAGAGGCCGAGAGGCCATTATATAGGGGTGGGAAGGATGAAGAGGCTAAGTGCTAGAGGCTGGGTAAGATGCTCTCTCTCTCTCTCGCTCTCTCCAGCGAGCGCCGGAAAAATTGCTTTGAAGAACCAAGTGAATAATGAGCTAGATCAGAGGCCGAGAGGCCATTATATAGGGGTGGGAAGGATGAAGAGGCTAAGTGCTAGAGGCTGGGTAAGATGCTCTCTCTCTCTCTCCCTCTCTCTCTCCCCGGTCACCACTGAGTGGTTCCCCTGAGGTGCGTTGCTAGACTTGCCTTCCCTCCCCACTCTCTTTCCTTCCGCCTCCCTTTCTGAGCTTTCATGCATTGACCGTATTCGTGTCTCCTTGCTTTCCTTGCGCAACAGGAATAACACTCTGTGCATGTGTGTCTGTGTGTGTGTGTGGCATGCGTGTATGGGTGGGTGTGTATGTCTGTGAGTGTTTGACTGTGAGTATGTGTTTTTGTATGTGTGTTTGTGTGGGTGCTGGTGCGTGTATGTGTGTGTGCGTCTCTGCGTCTGTGCGTATGTGTGGGGGGAGGAAGGGGGGGGGGGGGGGGGGAAGAGTGGGGGGGGAGGAGGGGGGGGGTGGGCGCCCATGTGCATGTGCGCGTACGTGTGTCGCTGATTGCGTGCATCATATGTGCTCTGTGCAAGAACAGACTACGCTGCGGGTGTGGGATGTTCTCTTCAATGAGGGAGCCAAAGTGCTCTTTAGAGTCGCCCTGGCTCTATTCAAGGTAACGCGCTTTCTTCCTTTTTTCTTGCCACTCTGTCCTCCCCAAACCCCCATTCTATGTCGCATTCCCTCCTTTTTCCTCCCTCCCGCCCACTACTCCAAACCCACACTGGCCCGCTTTCCTGCTAATGTTATTGATGTCCTTTCTTAACTCATGTAGTTTGATCCAACTTGATACACAGTCCCTCAGCCTCCGCCCTTTCCCCTCTCCCCACTATCTTGCCCCCATCCCCCTCCCCTCTCCACTCTCCCCCTCCTTTCCATCTGCTCACTCCACGCTCTTTTCAATCTCACTTCTCTCCCCTTGTCTCAGATAAACGAAACGGAGCTCATGACAGAACAGCACCTGGAGGACGCTTTCAAACCCTCTCAAGAACAGCTTCGAAATCAACCTTTCCTTGTGCTCGTTCCACCGCTCTCTCTCCCTCTCTCTTTCTCTCCCTCCTTGTGGCAGATTAATGAGGCGGAGCTCATGACAGCACAGCACCTGGGGGACGTGGTGGAAATACTCAATCGGTCCAGCAGCAGACACTATGACCCGGACATTCTTTTACAGGTGCGTCCCCATCCCCACCCTTAATGCACCTCCCTCATCTCCTCAAAAGTGGGTGCCGTGTCAATGTGACTCCTTAGTTCCCCTCCCTTACTGCCTCTCCTCTCCCTCTGCCACTCCACCAGGTGGCGTTTGACCGGTAGGGAACCAAGTCCATGGCCACCATTAGTAGTAGAGAAATTTATGCAAGTTTGCGTCCCCTTTCCTTCTCTCCCTCACTTGTTCCCTCCGCTCCCTTCCTTTCACTCTCTCCTCTCCCCCGCCAGGTGGCCTTTGACCAGCTGGGAACCATGTCCATGGCCACCATTCTCAAGCAGCGCAATGAGCAGAGCGTTTCATCCCCCTTTACTGCCTCTCTCTCCTCTCCCTCGTCTCCTCCGCCACCAGGTGGCGTTTGACAGACTGCGAACCATGTCCATGGCCACCATTCTCAAGCAGCGCAAGCGGCAGAAGAACAGATTGACTTATTTCCGACTCCCCTCTACTCTCGTTCCCCTCCCTCACTGCCTCTTCTCTCCCTCTACCCCGTTACCAGGTGGCGTTTGACCGGCTGGGAACCATGTCCATGGCCACCATTCTCAAGCAGCGCAAGAGGCAGAAGAACGCAGTGGTTGCTGCACTAGAGGCTCGGCAGCAGCAGCTCAGCGCGTACAAGCAGAGCAGCAGCAGCAGCAGCAGCAGAGCCAGGAGAGCAGAGAGAGCAGGGAGAGCAGGGATGAGAGGGAGAGCAGGGATGAGAGGGAGAGCAGGGATGAGAGGGAGAGCAGGGATGAGAGGGAGAGCAGGGAGAGCAGGGAGGGAGGAGGCGGGGGTAGGGAGAGCAGAGAACGTGGCAGCACAAACAGGGGTGTTAGCATCAGCAGCAGCAGCAGTAGTGGCAGTGTCAGTGTCAGTGGCAGTGGCAGTGGCAGTGGCAATGGCAATGGCCGTGGTGGTGGTCGTGGGAGCGGCAATAGCGAAACTGAAAGTGCGAATGGCAGTAGGAATGAGTCTAGATTTAAAGGGAGCAGCAGTGTCAGTGGGGTGAGTGCAGTCTCTTTGAGCGAGAGGAGGGAGGGCAGCAGTGCCGAGTCACAGATGCTTGATGTGGGGGAAGATAGCCGTAGCTTAAGCTTTCCGACTGGGGTTGCAGTGGGGAAAGTTGGGGAAGAAGATGAGGGAAGCAGGGAGAAAGGGGGAGGAAGAGAAACCGTCCAATCATCTGCATCCAACAGTGATAACACCACCAATGCCCCGCGTGCCCCTGCGAGAGCCGTTGATTCGATCAAAGTCCCGGACCGTACCCGTCCCAGGGGCTTCCGCAGTGCCTCCATTTCTGTCAGTTCATTCGCTAGGTATGAAGAGGAACCTGCCGCTGCTGAGGTCAATCATAGGACTGTTCTCCCTCCAGGTGCTTTGTTCCGTGACGCCAGTGCTGCTTGCGGCAGCAGGAACAGCCGCAGCAGAGGGGCGCTTGGAGGGGCTTTGAAAGGGGGCGTACGGGTTGGAAGGGGTTGGGGGGGATTTGACGAGATGGAGAAGATTCGGGAGGAGGAGAGAGCGGAATGGACGCGGGAAGGATTTACCCCTCCGCAAGGCCTCCCGCCTCGTGTTGCATCTCACCTGAATTTAAACCTGAGCTCGGTGTCAGTCTCTCGCATGCACGCTGCGGCCGAAGCTGCTATGTCTGCGTTTTCAGCTGCTTCCGAAGTGTCTTCTGTGGCAGCAGCGTCAGTTTCCCTGGCGATGGGTTCGCGTGAAGCTGAGAGTGGACTCATTCGCACCAACTCTATTTGAAATTAGTATTATTTCATTTCTGGCGCCGTAAAGAAGGCTCGCAAGAGGCTGGGCCTAGTACAGTCGTGCTAGGCTGATACGATAGTGGTGCTCTCATTCGCACCAGCTCCATTTGATTTTGCCGGTGCCAGAAAAACTTGGGAGGCTGGGAATGAGCTTGCATGCACCAACTCGCATGGTACTTTGCAGCTTTCGTGAGGGGGGTAGGAAAAGGGAGGGAGAGAGAGGGGTGGGGGGTTGGGGGGGGGTGGGGTGGGTGGGGGGTGGGGTGGCCGGGGGGGTGATTGTGCAGTGTCAGCAACTGGCCTCAATGTGCTACTTCTGCTTGATAGTTTTCGACGTTGTCGGCCTCCTCTTCCCCCCATCTCCCCTTCTCCCCCTCCCTTCCCCCCCATCTCTCCCTCTCACTCCCCCTCTAGATCTCTCTACCCTCCTTTTCCATCATCATCAGCCCACCTTCCTCTCCCTTCACCGCCACCATTCTGGACCCACACTGGCCCACTGTCTAGCATCTTGTGCTGTTAGCTCAGCCATTATTGGTTGGTCCGGATGTGTCCAGTTATCCACTTGGTGGAATACATGCATTGTCGTGACATGTTCTATTATGAGTTTGGTCCTTGCTTGGCATATGGAGATTTGAGTCCATGATATAATATCTGGATGAATGTAAAAAATATTTGAAGTAATTCCTGGTGTAGAACTCTGACGTCCCTGACGTGGCTGGCTCGCGACGCGCGCTTTTCCGACGTGTCGCGCTGCAGTTCATTGGTCAGATTCAATTGATACCAATCCCCGTAATCTCTGAGCTCGCTACCAGCACCACTACTCTTCTTTTCAAGCGTGTGAAATTCCCCAATGAGGTTTGGGGAGCTTAGAACTCAGGTGTTTCCGAGGGCGTAAGTTTTCGGATAGAAACCTCCCAAAACTTCATACAGATTTTGACGCCGAGGGCATGTCAGATGAGCTCATTTTGTTGCGGTGGGCTGCGATGTCGTGCGTGACAGAGCGGCTAATTTGTATGGAGTTTCGAGAACGGTTTTCGTTGCATCCCTGGGTACATAATGGATGGAATGGTGGACCCCTACCTGCTCTAAGATTTCTGGTGAGGTACAGTGTGCTTATGGAATATCTCAATGGAAATGTTTATGTCGGCTTATGATCCCTGCTTTCCTGCAGGTTGGGGAATCCGCCCTGAGGATTAGTAACGAGTGATTTCAAATGGGTGATTCATCGCGTAGTCCTTGCAGCCTTCCAAGTTCCTACATACTTCTCGCTAATCTGTTCGCAATCGCTTTTTCTCGTCTCTAGAGCCGGAAAACAAGAGCCGCACAGTACCCGACCAGATAGCTACTCCTGGAACCACGTGGCTAAATCCGGTCGCGAATAGATTACCCAGACCTATTTCAGGTTCAAGCCGGAGTAAAGGAGAGGGAGGAAATGTCGCTCGCGGTGGCACATGCGAGCAACCCGATCGTAGCGGTAGTAAGCTCCGGCATTATCTGTTATTCGGCAGCGGTGACTACAGTTTGCTGTTTGTTGCGTTGAATCTCGTCGAATTCTATAGATCAGCAGCAGTGGGTATTACCAAACTTCGGGAGACTCGTTCTTTTTCGGAAATGCCATGGCTCTGAACCTCAACCAGTTTTCGTACTTCCCCTTTCCCCTGTTTCGCTCTTTCCCCCACCCCCACTCCCCCCTCCTTCCTGCCTTTCTCTTTTCCCCTCGCTGTGTCCTCGTTTGAAGCAGACCCAGTGCAGCAGAAGAGGAATTCACCTTACACCAGCAGCATCGCCTTTTCTTTATACATGCCACCCCGCGAGCTGCACGCGTCAGCAGAAATGGCAAGAAACGTGTTCGCAGCTAAAATCGGACAGCCGGCATCGGAGAGAATGTGAGCCTCGCAGGGCTACAGCAGGAAGAATTTCATGTAATTTAAGAAATTCTTGGCACGAGGGACAATCCAGATGGAGGCTTACCAGCAGGTTCGCTTCTACATATAAAACCGCTGCAAGCGATGGTTCGAGAACCGGATTCATAGGGGGTCTGCGGAGAGTAGGAGGCAGCGGATGGGGGTTGCAAGGAGGGAGGGGTCTCTGGGGAGGGAAGGAGACAGGTGTGCAGGGGGAGAGGGTGCAGCTTGGGAGGAGACACCGTGTTGTTGTCTTGGCTGCCTGGGGCTTTAAACGACAACAAGAGCAACAGCTTCAGCAGCAGCAGCAGCAGCAGCAGCAGCAGCAGGCGTCAACGTCTACGTCAACGTCAACGTCAGCTTCAGACACGGATTCGTATTACGATTCGGATTCGGAGGACTCAGAGGAGGGGCCGCGAGTGGCGCGCTTGAGAGCAGTCCACACGTCCAGCATCCGCATTCACCCGTGGGAGAACGCGAATGGTCCTGGGATCGATTCCTCCCTGGCACACTCGTCCTCCCAGTTCTCTGAGAGCCAGCCTGCTGAGAACCGGACCTCTGCCGAGGCTGCTGAGCTGCTGGCTCGGTACCTGCAGTCGTCCCAGGGGCAGCGCAAGCTACTTAACGAGGCTGCCTTGCAGCAGGTAATTGCACCTTCTAGGTTGTTGTGGTTCCTTTTGAGTCGACTCAAAAGTCACCTTGTCGTGGTTCCTTCTGTGTTTCATTGCTCTGTGGTTAACCTGTTCACCTGTGGAGTCTTTCTTTTCTGCCTTACTGGTGTGATTTATCCATGGATGCATGCACATTCACACGCCTACCCGTCCCATTCCATCCGTGTGCCTGTGTCCATATGCCCAACACCTTCACCTTCACCATCACCATCACCATCACCATCACCATCACCATCACCATCACCATCACCATCACCACCACCATCACCACCACCATCACCACCATCACCATCACCATCACCACCACCATCACCACCACCATCACCATCACCATCACCATCACCATCACCATCACCACCATCATGGCAGTTGGAGCCTCTGTCGGACAATCTGTTCAGGTACTTTTACCTGCGCCATTCACCTGCGCCCATTCACCTGCTCAGTCTGGTTCTGATTATATTTCTGATCGTATCTACTCTGTGCGATCTATTTTCAAGACCTGGGATGGAAACGAAAACACTTGCTCACATTGTGAAAAAAAACTTCTAGCTCGTCTACCATGCCGGCCTTACCATGCCTGTCTTACCATGCCTGTCTTACCATGCCTGTCTTACCGTGCCTGTCTTGCCATGCCTGTCTTACCATGCCTGTCTTACCATGCCTGTCTTACCATGCCTGTCTTACCATGCCTGTCTTACCATGCCTGTCTTACCATGCCTGTCTTACCATGCCTGCTCTGTACCCATCTTCCCATCTTCCTCAAACCCCACACCAGGTGTTACTTGCA